TTTTTTTCCCATTGAATCTGTGCCCTAACCAGGGGTGTTTTATTTCTAAGTAGAAATGATATTCCCTAAATTAAAAGCATTAGTACACGCAACATGCAGAATGTATCTGGTTGTTTGAGTTGCCTTGTTTGAGATATGGCCATTTCTATCTCATGCAGTCCAAACCAGGCATGTCTGACTGCCTATGGTATCATCCGGAGATGAATTATTAGGGTTCAAAAGAGTTGAAACAGTGTTAAAGTCTCTCCTGAAGTTTCCAGCTTTAGGAACACAGGCAAGTAACATACAAGCCATCTGTAATTTGAAAAGTTCCCACCTTCCCTACCTTTTTCTTCTTCCTCTCCTCTCTCCCTGCTGCCCTTCCTTCTTTTTTCCTCTCACTCTTCCTTTCATGTAATATTTACTAAGCACTCACTCTGCCAGATACTGTTCTAAACTCTGGGAACACAGCAGGGAAGACAAAGTTCCTACTCAGTTGACGGTTGTAAGTAGACTTGCTGATAGGGGATAGGCAAGTTCTTTTCCAGTTGTTTGTATTTTCATGAAGCAGGAGGTAAAGTTTTTAGATAAGGACAAGAAGGAAGAAAAGGATATTGGAAATTTGAGGATAGAAAGGACATTGTAAAAGTAGTTAGAGTAAGTGAATTCACCAGAGAAATATAGTAGGATTGCCTGAGAGCCCTCAGGCCCCACTTGAGGTTTGTGGTCATAATTTAAATTAAGATCAGTCAACAGTGCTACATTTTCCTCACAGCCATTTTGGCTATTAAAGCCCATGAGTAGAATAAGCAGAATGTTGGTCCAACCAGGGTTCAGGTTTCTAAGAGTACAATGACTAAAAAGAAGAGAAAGAGGTTGACTGCATTAAAAACATACGAAGAGTGGGACCAGCAGTTAGCGTAATGGCTATGTCACTGGACTCCCACGTAGTCGACCGCGGTTCGTGTCCCGGACCCAGTGGCTTAGAACTCACGCTGGGCGCGTGTGCATGCATGCCCAAGATCCCGAGAGGAGAATGGAGAAGGGATTGCGGCATGGCCATCCCCTCTGGGGGGTGATTTCTCACTTTCTATCTCTCTGTCTCTCTCTGTCTGTCTGGCGAGCACATGTGTCCTATAGCAAAAACCTCTAAAAAAAAAAAATACGAAGAGTGAGCATTTACCTGGTTTGCGTTCTAACAGCTGTTGTAAATGAAACACTGCTTGTTCATAGTCCTGTTTTCTGAACATGAGGTCAGCCATCATCTACAAAGATAAAGCCAATTCTAAAAATACTGCTATATGTTTTACAAAGTATATTTTCCCAATCAAGTTTTTTTTTTTTTTAATTTTTTTGTTAAAGAAGTTATTTTCCATAGGGCATGTGCACTTGCCAGAGAGAGATAGAGACAATAAGAGGGAAAGTGAGCAATCACCCTCCAAGAGGGATATTCATGCTACAATCCCTTTTCCTTCATTCTCCTCCTGGGATCTTAGGTGTGCATGTACATGTGCCCAGTGTGGTTTTCAAGCTGCTGGTCCAGGACTCAAATCATGGTTAGCCATGCGGGAGTCCAGCGACACATCCTCTACACCATCTGCTGGCCTCAGTCAAGATTTAATACTAAATACATATGAAAACATGAAGAAGCAAAGGTTACAAAATAGAGCCATTTAAAATACAAATGCACTTTGAGCAGAATAGCTTGGAGCTCAGTGTAACAGAAGATAACAAAAGATGTGAAACAAGCCACTCTGTCGCCAAAACCACCTTTAGCAAAAAATGTCATGAATGAGTATTTTAAAAAAGAAAAATATGAGGGGGAACTGTACAATTTATGCACTGCTATAGAAAAGATGCCTCACTGGACTTAGCTAAAATGATGAGAACAAAACTTAAATCATGTTACGATCTGTAGTTGGCATAATGGCTATGTCGCTGGACTCCCATGTCATCTACCGCTGTTCAAGTCCTAAACCTGGTGGCTTGGACTCACGCCAGGCGCCTGTGCATGCGTGCCCAAGATCCGAAGAGGAGAATGGAGAAGGGACTGCAGTGTGGCCATCCCTCTTGGAGGGTGATTTCTTGCTTCCTGTCTCTCTGTCTCTCCCTGTCTTTCTGGCGAGCGCAAGCACCCTATAGCAAAAACCTCTCCAAAGGGGAAAAAAAAAAACCAAAAAAACAAAAAACAAAAACAAAACCTTAAATCATGTGTAAAGGAATAAAAAAAAGAGAAACTCATTTTTAAAGAAATAAAAAATGGGATTTTCCTATTATGTATTTTGAAAGGCAGATTTCTTATATTTCCTTCTAGTTATTTAAGAACTTTAAATGAATCTCACAACATGTCATCCATAGAGTTGCTTGAAAGTTAAATACTTCAATCCAGGTGAAAATAAAAATGAAAGCAATATTAGATTTAAAGCAGATCTTAGATTGATTTTTTTCCACTGTAACTCCCAAAGTTCTACTGAAACTCTTTCATTGGTTCAGCACGTCTAAGTACTTAAAAGTTAGTCTTTAGCAAATTACAACTCTTCCCCATGAACTCTGCCTGATTAAGCATACCCACAGGCACAGAGAAAATTTAACTAGACTTAAAAGGGCAAGCAGGGGCCTGATCTAGTTCTGTGGTTGTTCTTATAACTAAAATGCTGACAGCTGTTGAACTAACCATGGTAGCAGGTTCATTATCCTGGTCACTCTGCAGAAGCAGTGCACAGTGCCGCAGGCAGGCATCAGGGTCATCTTGTGCTAGATACAATCGTGCCAGTTCCAACATTGTCTGTGCAATAAAAGACAAGGTTAGTTAGAAACTGTTTCAGAATAAAAAATGCATAAGGAAAATGCCTGGCCACAGATTATTTATGACCAAATGTGACTGTAATAAAAATCACACACATCGGAGCCAGCAGATGATGTAGTGGTTATGTCACTGGACTCCCACGTGGTCAACTGCAGTTTGAGTCCTGGACTTGGCATCAAACTTGTGCCAAGCATGCATGCATGTGTGCCCAAGATCCTGGGAGGAGAACTCAGAAGAGAATGTGTCCTGGCCATCTTGAGGGTTAATTTCTCACTTTCCCGGTCACTGTCTCTGTCTTTGGTGAATGCATGCACCCTATGACAAAATTCTAAAACAAACAAAACCACACATTGTAGATGAGGAAAACTATAGGCATGCTCATCTCTACTTTTTCTTATACTGAAAATAAATAGAGAAACAGGTGGTAACTCACTTGAGAAGTAGAGAGAGAGGCGGCTGTGGGAAAAGAATGGGGATCCTAAAATCAGGAAACGATTCTAGTCCCAGTGTCTCTAGACAGGGGCCGAATCAAGTTCCCTTTTCTTCTCTAAACCTATTCTCTCATTTGTAAAATTAAAAGCTTTGAGTACATATCTCTAAGGTATAATTCAGATTTAAAACTAGGATTGGGGCCAACAGGAGGTGGGGTAAGGAGCTGGATACCCACATGGTCAACCTGGTTTGAGTTCTGGACCTGGTGGCTTGAAAATCATGTCAGGCA